ATTATAGAAAAAAAAATAATAAAAAGTGATGAATAATAAGTTTTCTTGGTGCTAGTTTAGTCTTGCACCAATTTGACGGGTGGTACTAATAGATTTTTCTGTCTTGTAGATCTCAGATATTTCTTCGATTTTTAAATTTTTGTCAGGAGTTTTCGATGTATTATTAATTATAAGTATATAAAAAAAAAAACAGTACTATTTAGGGAGTACTACATACAATCATTAGGGAGTATACTCATTACTAACAGTACTACTTAATACTGTTTCAAAGTCAACAGTTGTACAGGGAGGAGATCGGTCCAAGATCTCGCTCAATCACCAGGTTTTCTCCCTTAATCAATTATTTTAATTAAGAGCACCCACTTTGTAGGGCGCGTATGCAACAGGAGGGTAATCCTTTCTCAGGGTCGCTCCTCTGCAGATGGAACTGTATAAATAATTTTTGTGCCATTAGCTGGGATTCGATCCTGGCTCCTCGAGCAAGGAGGAAGTTCAGTGCCCTACCACTGAACTACCCCAGTTCTCATTGTTTATAAGTACTCCAAGTAAATATTAAAATTGGAAGATTGACTGTTTTAGGCCATGATTCTTCTCGTATTACTAACTTAATATAGATAAATTTATATGACTAGTAAAAACCAGTTTTATAGTCCATCTCCTTTTTGCAATCTTACTCTGATTCCGTATCTCATCGGTCATCGTGTGAGTTTTCTCACAAATCTTTCAATACTTCGTTCAAGGGTTCAGGTTTTGCATCCGTATATCAGAAATGGCTTTATCATGGCATTGTTTAATATTGCTGTTTCTTAATATGAGTTTATTAAATTTAAACAGCATGCATTTAAATTTTACAAATCGAACCTACAGACCTTTAGAAAAATAAATAAAATAAAATAATATATATATGTATGAGAAATATGTGTACCTTGAGAATAAGAAATTCTATCTAGAGAAATTCAGGATTTATGGTAAAATTGAGTAGTTTGCATTTCCAGGGCACTTTTTAACACTTTGTAGCTAATTTTGATGCCACTGGTCATCTCAGTTTTTTTATAATATTGATATGAGTATCTTAGTGTTGGAAAAGTATATTTTCATTACTTGATATAATAATTTGTCATAAAAAAATTACATAAACATACCCAAAATTATTAGTAGATTAATTTATAGTAATCTCTCTAGCTTCTTTTGAATGCAAGTTCTAAGCAAAATACTATGCTAAAAAAAAAATAATAAAAAATAAAGTCATATGATTGTACCTTAGGCTAAGCTAAGGTACATTAATATAATTTCAAAATATGGCACTTGTGAGAATAAATCCTTGATTTGTGGTTTTTACTCAAAAAGATCAAAAAAGATTATTTAATATATTAAGGGCTCTCAACATATGAAATGAAAAAGCTTACCAGTGTAGATAAATGATACTTATGATTGAATAATAATGATGATTCCTATTGAAACAAATATTGCCCAATGTCTTTAAGAAATGAATAAAAAAATAAAAAAAAATACTGTATATATATTATTTTTCTGTATAATTTATTTTATTTATTCTACATAGAGTGTGATCTGTGAACACTATTATAAATGTCCTTGAGATAGGTTGTAATATTTTTCAATAAATAAGTTAAAAAAATGATTATTTTCGGTAGTCAAAATCTGGTGATAAAGTCATTTAAAAACATAGTATCTTCAAATCATGGCATATAAAATTCTATTTTGAGATTTTAAAAATCATTGTTATTTTAGAAGTTATAGAGCATTGAAAAAGAGTGACTTAAGATACACATATTTCCCTTATATATATATATATATATATATATATATATATATATATATATGCATACAAACACACACACAAATATATATCTGTATGTAAATCTGAAAGGATCAGTAGTGTGTAGTGGGGGAACTGGCTGGACATGCAGTCTAGTACCAGAGCTTGTGTACGCCAACCTGTGGCCTTCTGTCTTTGCAAAGGTGACTCCAACCCACTTACATTTTAACAGCGAATGCAATATAACTTATTTTAAGTTTAAGTTAAGTTAAATATACTTATTTAAGTTAACAATACTTATCTAACATAATAAATAACATGTCAGTAAAAATTATATTATATTATGTAAATTGTATTATTTCAGTAAATATATTAATACAATACACTCGACCTATTTAATGAAAGATTGATTTAAAAAATAATTTAGAAAATACGTTTTGGACAATACTTAACTTTACAATTTTATTTCATCCATCTTTATATCTATATATACAACACATAATTTAAATGAGTTGAACATGATTGACATATAAATAAAAATATATATAATTTAAAATCTAGAAATTTATCTCGGGTATTAGATTTAATAAATGGAAAAAATTGGATAGCATTGGTAAATTACTGCAAATCTCCTTTCTCCTATAGAATAATGCTCAGCAGAGAATTTAACAATTAATAAATTGGAGAATATTGGTACCATTCTTTTTGTAGTTAAAATATTTATATAACTTTCACATTGTAAATATAATTATTCATATTTTCTTAATAATTAGAAATATATAAATAGATTGAAATATAATTTTTTTATGAAACACAGACTCCTCTGACAGTCAAGAGACGTCTGATTTTCGGTTTAATTCCAAAAATATTATTTTTGTATTGTTTCATAAAATTAATATTAAGTAATTTTGATAAATATAAAGACTTTTTCTTCTTCTTCTTCTCATAGATATAAGTATTTAATTAAATATTAATTTAAACATGCCTTTTACATCTCTTGAAATATCGAGTAATTTTGTAAATGTAAACAATGATCAATGCTGACAAAGATTTCAACATTTAATAACAGATGTATAAGAGATTAATCCTGATAAGATGAATGTAAAAATATTTTCTTTTATTTATAATTTACATATTATTCTACTGGACTAATTTAGTGTTAAAAAACATTTCTAGTATTGTTTAGGAACTGTTACTTATAACGTGTAACTTGAAACTTACACTAACTATAAATATTAGTCGATTTTTGATGCAGCCACTGCAATTTTGTTACTTTGAATAAAATCCTTATTATAATGCTTTTGAAATAATTATGACTAAATACCTAATTTTATTTAAAATGGCCTATTCAAATCATCTGTTACGACGATTAATGTAGATGAAGTTTTCTTTTTAATTCGAAAACTGTCAAAATTCAATTTTGGTTCAGTAATAATTTTATTTTTAGTTCAAGTATAATTAGGAACTTATTGAGTAAATAAATAATTTCTTAACACTGAAAAGTTTTGTTTGTTCTAGATAGAAAATCATCGACTATTTTTTATTTTTAATCTCTTTTCTCACTGATATGAACTGTGTATTTAATTTCCTGTACTAGCCACGTCTTCATTGAGAGAATAATAATATAAAGATTTACAACATGAAAAGTAACTTGCAACATAAAACTTGTGACAATAGAGGTAGTGTTATCCAAATGCGAGACCGAGACGAATCTGGGTCTTGCAAACTCAGTCTTCGTCTTGGTCATGGTCTTGGTCTTGCGCAAGAGTCTCGCAACAGTCTAGCAGTTACTCATTAGCTCATTACTATAGAGATATTACTGTAATTTATAAGACAGGAGAAACCTAACTAAGCCCGAATTCGAGGAGTTAAATGCAAAAGTATATTGGTTATACCAATTATTAACATATAATAACTAAAATTGTCGAGTATTAGCAACTACTGTAACCCTTTATTCAAAAAATCGATTTTTGTTTACCAGTCCTGGTCTTGGTCTTTCAACAGTTAGGGGGCCTTGGTTTTGGTCTTGCAAAGTGAAAAAACACTGTTAAATAATTTCCTTATAAATCACTTAGTCCTGTTTCGCTCTTCACTAACGAACGAACAATCTAGATTGTGTGTTTCTTAGGTTGAGTATAGATATGGCCCCAAGTATTTATGACTTTTCACAATAACAGAGAACTTAGAAATAAACAATAATAACGGCTAAAAAGTGCGGATTAATGAAGTAAACATAATTAAAATAAGGTAACACAAGAACTAAAAATTGTAATCCTATAATATAATGTAAAACAATGCAAATTAATATGAAGCTATATAAGAAAATAATAGATATAAATAGAAAATTAAGATATTGTAAAATCTATCAAAATATGCTGTTAGAAAATCAAGTAAATAATTTAGCAAATGTATCAATATATACAAAATAGAGATGAAGATATGAAAAATAGAGTGACAGAAAGGAGGACACAAGGAGAAAACAAAGATAAGATAAATAAATTTTAGTTTTCTCCTTATTATCTACTTTCCGTCACTCTATTTTCCTTATCTCCATCTCTACTTCGTATATTTTGATACATTTATTTTTTTCTATCAATATATTTTGATATATTTTACAATACCTCAATTTTCTATTATTATTTCCTTGTATAACTTCATATTACTTTTCACTATTTTACATTTTATTCTAAGATTACAATTTTTAATTATTATGTTATCTTATTTTGATTATGTTTACATCAATTGTCAGCACTTTTTAGCCGATATTATTATTTATTTTTTGATTCTCTTTTATTGTTATTATTCTCCCTACTTTATTTTACTCTAATATTCACTTATCTACTTCATTTTACTTTTTCTACCTACATTGTTTATGTTTCTCATACCTATTGTTATCTAGTTCTATTTCTCAGCCCTAATGAAGGCCTGAACTTCGAGCCGAATCGTAGGCAAATGTAAAAATAGATATTATTATTTATTTTTGCCATTTTATATTTTACTGATCACCCCAACCATCCTTATCTTTGAGATTATAAATAAATCTATTAAATAGTATTTTTCTATTTAAAAAACCCACTAAACCCAATTATCAATAAGCAGATAGCTATGTCAATTTAAGTGATCTCCAAGATTTACTATGCTTAACCTCATCGTAGTATTGTATAGCCATTCATTCCTTCAATATTAGGCATACTTTTGATGTAATCATAATGTATTGTTCCAGATGCTTCCTTCATATTTAGGATTGGTTCTGGTGGTGGCGTGCCTGATCGGTTCTTCGGCAGGGCAAGGCCTGTTTCCCGAGATAGACTCTTCGGAGACCCACGAAGAGAATGTGACTCCTCTGCAGATCTTTAAGGTGCCAGATCGCAAGCAGTGTCCTGATGGCCAACAGAGGCTCAACGGGAGGTGTCGAACAGTCTTCACTAATTCGTAAGGATTTCTTAAATTGTATTAAAATGTTAATTATTTTTATTTATTTACTTTATATTTATATTTACTTTTAAGACAACAAATTAAAAGACAATTTTTATTCACCGTAAGGGAATGTACTTCCATATCTAATTAAAAATCTTGATAGATTAATAGGGAAATTGAAATCTACAAATATTTAAAGTTGGTTTAATAGTCGGGTGCCTATACACATTACGGCTCTAGGCAAATAGAAATCGTCCCATATATCGGCGTATATCCGAATCTACAGTTTTTGTCTGGGGTGGTAGGTACCCAGCAACTACACTAAGATCAAATATTCGTCTGAGCCAATTACCCTATCAATCTACTCAGATATTTAAGTACATATAAAAATACATTCCCTTAGGGTGAATAGAATTTTCCAATTTCTGTAGTCGGTTTTTTTAAATTCAATTATTTTTTTATTTTAACATTTTTATAACTTAAAAATATTAACAATTTATTTTCATAATGTATGATCACATGATATCATTTAAAATGAATTAATAATCGAGATACTTATTAAATTGTTAATTTTTTTCTCAGTATTTTGTATTCAAATTGTTTCCAAATATTCACGAGATCTCTCTGAGTAATTATAGCTGTCAAAGTTAAAAATCGGTAAAGCCGTCCGCTCAAAAAATCGTTATGTGCATTTTAGCGGATTGATTAAATACACTTTATACAGTAATTTGCCAGAATTTTTAGCTCAAATTCACTGGATCTCACCAAATAATAATTAAAATCGATCTACCCGTTCGCTCATAAAATCGTTAGAAAGCTTTTAGAAAATTGATCAAACACATTTTACTCAATCACGGGCCAGTGTTTTTAGCCCAAATTGTTTCAAAACACTCGGGTCCTCACCGAATTTTTTTTTTTATTTCTTAATGACATTTACAACTGTATTACATAAATAAATCTAGTAAATTTGGACATAATAGATATAATGACATGAATACACTTGCTGAGTAACTACCCAATGGTAGCACTCTAATGATATGACTACATTAGGAGATCACGGGGCCATCTTCTTTTCAGACGCTTCGGAGGGTTATCAGGAATTGAAGAGGAAGCAAGGTTAGAAACGAGAGGGTTGGGATGATTCTGAAGTTTATTATGGAAGGATAGGTATCTGGATTGGGCCAGATCTGAAACATAAGGAACATTAAGATCTTTATGGATAATTTTATTAGTGACAAAGTAAGGAGCATTGAGGATTTTACGAAGGATTTTGGATTGTAAGGATTGGATGCGAGAGGAATTCGATGGTTTAGTGGAGCCCCATAGCTCAACTCCGTAAGTCCAAATAGGTCTTATTATAGTCAAGTATATGAGTCTTTTGTAATTAATGGGAAGTTTAGAGCGTTTGTCTAGTAAGTGCTGAAGTAATCGGAAACGTCGAGCGGTTTCTTGTCGTTTCAGTCTAGTATGAGGATTCCAAGTTAGTCGCTTGTCCAGGTGGAGTCCTAGGTATCTAATTTGCTCAACAGGGATAAGTGGAATATTGTTAAAGGAAACTGTAGGACAGGCAGTCGTTGGTTTACGACGAAGGTCGAATAATTTAAGATATCAAACTTAAAAATCGATCCAATTATTCTCTAAAAAAAAACGTTACAGAGCTTTTTTCAAATTGATTAAACACAATTTGTTTAATCAAGGGTAAACATATCTAGCTAAAATTGTTTCAAAATACTTTCGGGAGTATTCATTTCAATAAATATTTTGAGCTTTCAAACTTAATAATTGATTTATCCGTTCGTTTGAAAAATCGTTCCATCCCTTTTAGCGGACAACTAATAATTTAAGATATCAAATATTTAATCACCCAAGTTGCATATTCCAAAAGATGTTATAGCAGAGAAAGGAAAGGAATAATTATTGATTATGGTTAAATGATCATTCTTTGGGATAGAAAAGTGCAGTTTCGGATCTTCATCAAACAATTTATTCTAAACTGATTATTTAAAATTAAATTTATACACTAATACGTTATTCTTATCGCGTTCGCAGTGTGTCTGTGTAAATAAACAATTGTCAGTAAATAATATATAAAAAAAAACTGTGAACTGACTCGAAAATAAAAAACTAAAAAAATTTCAACCCACAGAAAAACGTTTCATGAGTAAAAAAGTAAAATATTAATTTTTTTTAGAATATTAATAACATTTTATTGTATAATTTAAATAAATAGTTTATATCAGCAACAATCGAATCCCTCAGAGGGACAATATACCTCGGACTAATATTTGACAGAAGGATGACCTGGGACCTACACGTCAAAATGAAAAGGAAGACTTTGAACAAGTGACTGAAAATACTATACTCACTGTTTTCTAAATCAACATTGAAAAGTAGACAAAAACTAAATACATATAATTACCTGCTCTAACCCATTTGGACATACGCCTCACAGATTTACGGTTCAGCAAAAAAGACTCACTTACAAAAACTACAATCTTTTCAATCTAAAATTTTAAGACTAATAACTGCAGCTCTCTGGTATGTCAACAACAAGACTTTACATACCGACCTAAGACAACCAACCATTGACCAGTAAATACGTACTCTCTACTCCCATTTTTTCTAAAACTACACGGACATCACAATGGACTTATCAACGACATGGCCACGGCTGAAATGCTCATCAGGAAGCGACTGAAAAGGACCTGTATGAGAGATCTCCTTTCCTGATTTTAGAATGTAAACAGACCAGGGAAGAGGTGCTGCTGGGCTCAATTCTTTGTCATGCTTATCATGCCATTTTCTACCTGACAACAAATATGCTAATTGTCACTACCATGACAGGTACGGATGAAGAATTGAAGACAAAAATATAAAATAAAAAAAATAAAATTAGTTTAATTTGAGGCATAAGTATTTAACAAACAAACTAAAAGTATTCACTTCGGAATAAGTTAATTATATCTTTATATAATATTATATCTTTATTATATTTCAGTCCTAAATAACATGGAGACACCTTCATATACCTGACTAAAGTTTCACACTTCTAGTTTAATTAGGTAAAATATTTTTAAATATTATAGTGAGAGTTTAGTTCCTAGTATTACAATTATGGGGAAAATATCAAAATATTTATCTTCTTTACACGAATATTTAAAATGTAAAGAGATTTTCATTTTTAGGCTGAAATCTGAGATTGCAGGGAAGGACTCCTGATTGAGAAAAAACCTTGGAATAATTTTGGAATTACTACCAATAAATAGCATCATTATATCTTCAACTAACACTAGTAGTTCTGTAACTCTGTCAGGTTTCATAAATTCAAGAATGATGATTACTTTGGATATGAATTTGCTTTTAATTTAGCCTGATAACATATTGAATTTTATATTTTGACGTTTTAAAAAAAATACCAAATTCTCTGTTAATAAAATAAGTTATTAATAACATTATTTCAGCTTTATAATAACAAAAAAAAAATAATCACCTCAATGACTATCTGTTTTGTAGATAAGTCGTGAAATGAAAATGTAACTAATGTAAGAATTTTAATATATTTATTACTACATTTTGTTTTTTTAAAAATATCCTTTTTCTTCAAACAATTATATTAAAAAAGTCAGAAGAAAGAAATTTAAAAAAAAAAAAAGTAGTTCCTATATTAATGACAAAGCCTTTTGATATTTTAAGCATTTTTTAAAAATGTATTTATTGTGTAATATAAGATTCTTATAAATAGGCAATCGTTATAGCGAGGTAAGTCTACATTCACACTATATATAAAGAAAAGATAAATATATATCGATAGTGGCTCACAGTGAAATTGATACACCAGCAGAACATTAGAAAAAAACAGTTACCTAAATGGTTAAAGTAAAGAAATGAAACCATAAACTCTTCAATAAAAATATTTATATCTCAATTTAAATATTCAAAAACTCAATAAAATTAAAATATTCAACTGGGATTATTTAAAAAAATTAAAATGATGATTTTATTTCACATTCAAAATGATACACTATACTTTTTTTTTTTTAACTTTTAAATACTATTAATTTAGTTCTAGACTTTGTAGGCAAGACATTATTTCCCACCACTTCTTTCAGTTTGTTTGTAATTGAGTTGAACAATTGTTCGAAGAGATATTTTTTTGAAGTCTTCTTTGCTAGAAAGTATTTTATAATTTCTATCTCCAATTTCTCCTATAGGTGTTCTTTCACATTAAGATCTAGTGACTATGCTGGAAGTTTTATAACTTTGGTGCAGTTATAAATTAGCCATTCTTTGACTAAAATTTTTAGTGCAGTGTTTGGAGTCAAAAGTTTCACTACAAAAATATATGAGTGGGGGATATACTTCTTGAAACTTTGCTTTCTGTAAATATAATGTAATGATACAGTTAATAATTATTTTAGTTACTCTTTTGGTTTTCAACTTTTGACTCACTTATTGGGAATGTAACTCTTTATTACAATAAATATTGTTTTTAGTCAAAGTCTGCATTGTATGGAAAAATCTAAATTTGAAAATCAATTACTAAAATGTGATGATATTAGTTTTGAATTTTAAAAAATGTTAGAGTGCAACGTTTTAGCAGTTTAAATTTGGATTTCCAATCTCAAATTTCCGAATATTTTGAATTTCTAACTTATAACAACATCCCAGTTTATACGTTTTACTAGTCGCATATTACATTTAATATTTGTTTCTTGATTGAATTGCTAAATAGGATAGTATTTTAGTATATACAGCTATTATGTTTTAAATGTACCTAAGATTTCTACACATATGATTTCAAAGTGGTAGCACCAAGTACCTAGTCCTTAAATCTATGTATAATTACAGGCTTATGTTTTAAGCTGTGCATCACAAATAACAATATTTTCTATTATATATGTGTATATATTGCTAATGCGATTCATTTTAAATAAATAGATGATGATTATATCAATATTAACCGTCAATATATAAATAACCGTCATGTGATTTCCCCTGAACTTGAAAAGTGAATGGAGAAAATAAAAATGGAGTCTAAAATTGCCAATCATTCTGCATGTAAACGTAAAATAAAAATCTTATCTGCATAGATAGTAATTATGTTAAATTTAACTATAGGAAATACTTCAGCCACGGTGTATAAAAAAGTTTCAAGTGTACTTTATCATCAATGTCGGTTCAAGTAGGCCTCTAAAAAAAAGAAAGAAGCTTCATTGTATAGCTCGCATAGGATAAGAGCACTGGATTTTAGCCTAGGATCTTTACATTATTCATAGTTTTAAAATTAAGTACAACATAAACGTATGCATATCATGCAGGAAGAGATGAACTTTATGGTTACAATTTATTTTTAGGAACAAAGAAAAAAAAAGTATTTGTGGCATGAAATTTGTTTTTACAGAAAATTTACCTAATAAAAATATATGATACTTTTGATTATTGTTTTTCAACCATACTTCATTAAAATTAAAATTTTATTTTACTAATCGAAAACCGATTATCATTATTTTATTAAAATTTCGTGAAATAACGGGATTATATTGATCGTTAAAATTGTCCTTCAATAATTTTTTTTTTTATAACTTGTTTATTGAAAAATATTACAATCTGTCTCAAAGGACATTTATAATAGTGTTCAGAAATCACATTCACACTCTATGTTCAATTAATAAAAATAAATTATTTCAGAAAAATAATATATATATATATATATATACAATAAATAAGAATAAAATAACCAAAAAATAAATAAATAAAAAAGAACACATACATACCTATATACACTATTTAAAATCAGGCGAGAGAACACCGAGCCAGACTTTTCCCTCTAACTGTGGAGGGAAAAGCATGATTCTAGGAGATCGCTGCACTTCTTTCTCAACCGCGTCACTGGGGCTAAACCCAGTGGAGATTGAGCGAGGGTACTGCTCTTCAACAATATAATAAGAATTTGATTATGAATAATAAAATAAAATTTTAACGATGTTTACTTAACAAAATTTAATAAAATAAATACATAAAGATTTTTCAGAACATTTAAAGAAGTAAAAATTAATTTTATGATCGTAAAATGTATCTAGAAAACTACAAAAACTGTGGGTAATGTGCAAACTCTCTAAAATTAGATTGAATGAAAGACTTTTAATAAACTAAAAATTATTCCACAAAAAAAAAAAAATATATTTTCAATAAATTGTCTATGTTACAACATATTTTTTCATAAACACAAATTGTAAATGGTGGTCGAAAAACAAATCGGAACTTAATTTTCATTTTCAATGTGCCTGAATTTCTTAACACTATGTTTCATTAGCACCTAAAATAAAAATACCAAAATATCATAAACATTGCATCCGATGTGACTACAGTAAAAAAACTTTCCAAAAAACGCACAATACCATGTTTACATGACATTTGTAATTTGTGAAATTTATTTCTAGAAACTATTAACCAGTGTTTGATTGAACACAATACTTATATTCTCTGGAACTCTCTTTAAAAGGCATATTTATTTGAATGTTTTTTTTTATGTTGTATATTTGAAGAGAGATTACAAAGAAATAGTACTTTTATCATTATCAATTACAATATAATCAAATAAAATATACAAGGTTGGAATCGTGTTCATTATATTACTTATAAAATGTCTTGAAAAAACTATTATAAAATGAAGCCAATTTTCGGTATTATATTAGAATAATCGCTTTATAAAAATCGTTTTCGAAAAACTAGTTAATGAAGAGAAGAGTAGTTGGGGTGGTCAGTCAAAAAGGAAGGCAAAAAATAAATGATAATATTTATTTTTTACATATGCCGACGTTTCGACCTGAAGTTCAGGCCTTCATTAGGGCTAAGAAAATAACCAGATAAGAAGGTATGAGAAACATAAGTAGTGATGGTAAAAAATAAAAAATAAAATAAAAAATAAATAAATATAAAATAAAATGAAATTGTTATAATAATGACTAAGAACTAAGAGATAAATAATAATAACCGTTACAGAGTGTGGAATGATGAAGTACTTCTTTAGTTGTACTTTTATTATTTCTTTCTTATTTCAGCTTTCACAATTTCTTCCCTCCTTCCTTTCATTCCTTTTCTCTGTTTTTAACTCTTTATTATATCATACATTGTCTGTATATCTTGATAGACTTTACAATATCTCAATTTTCTCTCTAACTACTCCATTCTCAATGTTTTAATTTTACTATTTGTTTTCATTTCTTATATAACTTCATATTTCTTTTTTATGTTTTACATTTTATTCTAAGATTCCCATTGTAACACTTATGTCACCCTTTTTGATTATGCCTACTTCATCATTTCACACTCTGTAACGATTATTATTATTTATCTCTTAGTTCTTAGTCATTATTCTATCAATTTCATTTTACTTTATATTTATTTATTTAATTTTTTTAATTTTTTTTTACCATCACTACTTATGTTTCTCATACCTTGTTATCTGGTTATTTTCTTAGCCCTGATGAAGGCCTGAACTTCAGGTCGAAACGTCGGCATATGTAAAAAAAAATAAATATTATCATTTATTTTTTGCCTTCCTTTTTGACTGGCCACCCCAACTACTCTTCTCTTCATTATCCACGACAGTCAACCAATTACCAATTATGAAAAACAAGTTAGTTTTACTTGTAGAATTTTCAAAATAATTTTACTGTAAAATTGGAATTCAACCTAATTAAGTATTCTTATAAATAGAGTTATGTGTATCCACTTTGTTATATTATATAATACATACCTATTTATAAACTAGTATATATTAAAAATGGAATATGATATTTTTTTTATTCAAATTTCTATTGCTATATTCACACGTAAAAACAATAAAATTTATTAAATAGATAAGTTTTAATTTTGTTTAGAAAAGCTAGAAGTCAAAAGGTTATGAGAGATTAACTGATCTTGGGCGTATTTTACTTTAAATAGAAACGATAATAAATAGATTAAAGATAAAATATTGCTATTAACAGTGTCGCCTTTCATAACAAGTGATAATATCATCCCAATGCAATATTGACCAATAACGTGTAACTTTTGAAAATTGTACTAATATTTATAAAATAATAATAACAATATTTAAAAAAAAAAAAACTAGCTTTATTTTTAATATATTTACAAATGTTCACTGGATGATAACTAAGATATAAAGACATACTTCATGGTAATAACCATATAGGGGGAATTTACAAGAGTATAGATTTAAAAAAAAATAAATAACTTCTAGTTATCCACACTATATATGATAAGAGTGTAGAATTTTTTTCCAGCTCACAGGAGCGATTAATATGGTTTATGAGGTATCGAACTGAAGAGTGTTTCATAGAGGAGTGATGAATCTCAATTTCTAAGCTTAAAGCCTTACAACTACATTGAAAGTAACTAAAAAAATCTGATGCGTGCATCAAACTACTTCCACTTACCTCTCTACTTTGAATAGAAATTATTTTCTGCCAATGTTGGGCTATTAAAACGTTATTTATGTACATTTATAATGGAGATAATTCTTAAACCTTAATAAAAATCGAATAATTCCATCTGTTTTTTTAACCAC